AAACATTTCCTGGTAAGCCTTTTGAAGAAGATAAAGAAAGAGGAGATGCTGTGATAGTGTGCACTTGTGAGAGCTCCCAGACATCACTACAAAACGCTGAACCGCCAAGGCTCACGGTTGACAGATGTCCTGAGACCGATTGAGGCGGCTTAAAGGACCGAGTTCAAGTACTCTGTTGACCCGGCACCGGGAGGAGTTGTAGTGTAAGTGTTGGTGAGGTACCGCTGCACTACAGAAAACAGCTGACCGACATGAACTATGGGAAGGGAGAGTTACGCAACTGCATGAACTCCGTATGCACTCTCGGCGCCGATGTCGAAACGTAAAGACGATCGTTCTCTCGTAGCTGTCCTTCGATTAAAAGCGGCTATACTGTACTACTACCTCTGTTTGCCCCTCTCTCTTCTATTTTCGATCTCCCTTTGAATTTCACCTAGTCACCACAGGGTGTTAAACTATCAGAAGGGTCTCACTACGCTAAATCGTAGTCCTTACTTGTTAGAGCCCCAATGTAGAGACAAATAAATGATGCCAGTACACGTTGTGTTGGGAGGCTTGCCCAGACCCACCAAGCCTTCCATCCGACCATGATTCATTAATTCAACCAGATTCATCTAGAAGGGCAGACGTTGCACATCAACTGACTCCACAGTCACCTGTGAATCACGAACGCGATTCAGTCTACACTTTCTCCGCACGCTGGATATGTGGCGCATCCAAATACGAGCTGACCCTGAGAGTTTATTTTCTTTTCGCCAAAAGCGTATATAAATAAGGAGGAGGTCTTCAAAATATCTTACATCGATCGCTAAAATTCTGTTGGAGACGTCGACTTTAGTGTTGTACGTAGTACACCAAAGAGATAAAATGTTTGCCATTTGACGCGTAATTGCCTCGTCCGACCATCCTTCTGCACATGTTGCGCTTTTTTTTATTTTAGAAGGATTGTTGTTGTTTTCGAATTCGTCTTCATTAATTCCAGATTCCACATGTATGTAATATGCTACGCCTGATTTTATCTGCACCTGTTCGCGCTTTCTGGGTGCGAGCAAGATCATGTCATAATGGGATGCCTTCGACAAGTTCCAGCTTGGCAACAAGGTGTTCCTCGTCGTGGATCTTTTGTGACCCAGTTGTACTTGGTAAGATTTTTTAGTTTTTCAGATTTTAAAGCAATGGAATGGTGGCGCAATGTGGCTCGGGGGGCACTCTGAAAAAAGTCATCTAGGACTAAGCCTAAACAGCAGGGACGAACTCCGGAGAATACGAAAATTGCTTCCGTACACCGGAGTTCCTCTCCTCTTCAAAAGCTTAGTCCTAAAACGGAGCGTTTCCGTGATTTTGACGCGATGTTGCGAGGTGCCTTCCCTCGAGCTACATTGCGCCGGAATGGTTATTTAGGTGGGAATTAGCTCTTACATGGTTTTTCTATTTAATTTTCCGTTCAGTTCACAGTTACACAGCTAGCTTTGTGAATGAAACTTTTGAATTTTTGAACGTGTTTATGCAAAGAAACAGTACTTTGAACTGTTTCCATTTTTGTTGGATGGCTGAGTTGGGACGAAATGGTGGCCCCGGTGGTGTAACTGGCAGCAAAATTGACCAGGAAGCAATAGATACAATTACTTTTTCCCGCTGGGGCGAAAGTTTTGCCAACACCTCAACATTCTTGTGATTACTATAGAATATTCTCAAAGCTTGAGTTTGACTGGCGTTTTATGTATTTTAAAGCCTCTCCATTTAAGCTCGATCATATCGGCGAGACAATGACCGCACAAGAGAAAGAAGAAGCAGCCCTCAACTCCAAGAAACCGAGCCACACTTCTTCCAAGCCTGACCATCCAGCATATCGACCCGGTGAGTTCGTAGTAAAAGAAATGGCGCGCTCGGGCCGCAAAGCGCCTGTAGCTATGCAAGTTCTGATAGCTTTTTTGATCATTCATTGCATCGATGTGACAACCATTTCTCACGCAGGTTTCGTTCGGCTGCAATATTCTGCTTTCTCGCTAATTTTGATATTAGCTCATTTAGATGGAAGACATGCTAGTGAAAACGAGAGTGGTAAGGACGACGGCGGTGATCCGAGAAATGAGCTCGTTGCAAAAATTGAAGCGATTCTTCGCTATTTCTTTGTTTGCTTATGGAGTGCTTTATCTATTCAGGTGAGGGCTGAGGGTAAGGTCACCACTTATTTCACACTCAGAGTTCATCTCATTAGCTTTTTTATTTTTTCGTTTTTTCTTGTTATCGGGAGGTTCTAGTCCAAAATCTGATGGTCCTGCTGGAGTTGAGTCTATAACATGGAGTGAATTCGTCAGCAACTTATTGCCTACGGGTCAGGTATGAACAGGATTTCTTTATTCATTGATATGGTTTTATTGTACACTTTCTCTTTAGATCCACAAAATTATTGTTTTCCCTGAAAAAGATGTCGCGTATATATACACATATGCTGGATCCAAGACGGCCTCAGGAGAGCCAGTGAGAACTTTTTTCGAAATTGATCACCAGTGTGATACTCTTGAACACCGATATAATTCTCCTTATTTCTAGATGGCGTCCATCTACCGCATGGGTATCCCAAGTGTTTCACGGTTTGAAGCAGAGGTTCGTGCTGCTGAAAACGCGGTAAGGTTACCCCCAGAGCACTGGATCCCGATTCAGTACCGACGTATGGAGGCAGTGTACGTTGCGCGATTTATCTTCTTTGTTGCTCTAAAGTTGCTTCGACGTTAACATCCTGTGATGGTAATTTACAGAAGCCAGTGGTTAACTCTTATTCTAGTCGGCGGCCTTGCAATTGGAGCCTATATATTGTTCAAAAGGTTCAAAGGATCATTCAATCTATCTGATATGATGGTGGGTTGTTCTCATAGACATGTAGAATGGTGTAAAAGAAACATTATTTATTTTAGTCAAATATTACAAAGGGTAAATATACTGTCATCGACCCACATAGTCCAGAAGGAAAGAAGCAGTTGAAAATCAAATTCAAGGTTGGTTTGTGTTTTTCATCATCATTGATTTATATTTTCTTTAAAAGAGATATTCCGACCCCTACATCTGATTTATCCACGCTGGCAATCATTTCGAAGTTTAGAAGTGAGTTTTAACAATGCTTATGAGCCTTATGTAACCAAGTATTTCTAACGTCCTGTTTTCACTGACACTATCCTTATTCGGCTGTATCTTTCTTCAGGATGTTGCTGGGTGCTTCGAAGCTAAACAAGAGATCAGCGAATTTGTCGACTACCTCAAAAATCCCAATAAATACACCGTCAGTTTTTTATTTTTTTTTGTTTTCTCTACAGTTTATCAGTGTCATGTATCCTTTAATGAAATTCCTCCCGTATGGCCCACCTTATGACGGGCGTTGCCCCTCGTTGCTAAATTGTCTTGTTTTTTTGAGCATAATCTTATACTGCTGTATACGGGTATTGTATAAAGCTATTGTATACATTTTCGGGACAATAAGAAGCTATTTTGTTTCACAAGAATGCTGGGTTGTGAACAAAACTTTCGCCCCAGGCGGGACTAGCACTCCCACCTCTAGTTCTAGTCCCGGGTTCTAGTCCCGCCTGGGGCGAAAGTTTTGTTCACAACCCAGCATTCTTGTGAAACATTCGCAAGGCGAACTGCGGCCAAAAACAGCAGTTAACAAACAAAAACAAGTCAAAATATCTTGTTTATTGTGATTTGTTGATAGATTAATATTTACTGGCGAAAACAGCGAAAGCTTGCGGATGTGTAAGAGGTACTATGTTCAGTGATTCATTCGGCTTGTTCAATACCATTCGGTGCAGATTCGCGTTTCTTATTCTTATAATAGTGAATGAATTTCTGATTTAATATCGTTGCAGAAATTGGGTGCAAAGCTGCCACGTGGAGCACTTCTAACTGGTCCTCCAGGTTGCGGAAAGACACTCATCGCAAAAGCGCTAGCTGCCGAATCAACTGCACCGTTCATCTCCATGAATGGTTCAGAATTTGTTGAAGTTATCGGTGGTAAGTTACATTTTCGTCATTATTGTTTTTGTTCATTTTCATTTCATTTATACTTATACGTTTATACATTTTATACAGCCCTTTGTTCAAAAATTTCGCTGTAGCTATATCTTTGCACTTGTTTTTGACCTGTCGGGTCCATGGGCTGCGGATCGTTTTGTATTGGGCAAAGTAACTAAGAGATTTGCTAGATGCTTAGGCCTTGGTGCATCCCGTATTCGTGGACTTTTCAAAGAAGCACGCTCGAGAGCCCCATGCATCATCTACATTGACGAGATCGACGCTATTGGCAAGAAGAGAAGCGAATCAAAAGGAGGATTCGGTGGTGTGTCTTTATCAAGTACCAGTTTCATAGTTACATTTATTCGTTCCACTTTAATCATTCGTTCCACTTTATCAGTTTAGTATCTTTATAGTTCAGGTGGATCCAACGAAGAGGAGCAGACTCTGAATCAGCTATTAGTTGAAATGGATGGTATGGGGAGTGGACAGGGCATTGTGGTCTTAGCTAGTACGAACCGCCCAGATATTCTTGATAAAGTGAGCTGTTGACATTTCATTACTGCTTCTGAGATCATGTGTATCGTTTTAATTCGCGATAATTCGTGTCCTACATAGTTTTGGAACTCTCGTCCATCTGGGAAAAAGGTAGTTACTAGAGATGGTGGTTCAGGCTTTACTTCGTCCCGGGCGATTCGATCGTCATATCAACATCGATCTACCTACAGTGATCGAGCGAAAAGAGATGTTTGATCTCTATCTCAAGAAAATCAAACTCGATCATCCATTCAGCAAATACTCCCAACGTCTCTCTCAAATGACCCCAGGTTTCACAGGTATTCTGCAGAATTGTGTCAGTAATGATTGCCTTAGAGGAACGATGACTCTTCCAATTGTAGGTGCTGATATCTCTAATGTGGTTAATGAAGCTGCTATTCGAGCTGCATCCACTGGAAAGCATATTGTCACAGTGAATGAGTTAGAGTATGCATTGGACCGAATTTTAGCAGGTAGGGTTGTAGGGATTTAATAACTCATATCATCAGTAAAGTTGGTGTTAAAATGGCAATCCAATTTACAAAGCATTATTGAGCCAGCGGTGTTTGATTTATAGTATGCCATACAAAGTAAAAACATCCCAATACTGCCATTGTAAATCAACTGTTTAGGAGCGGAAAAGCGATCCCGATCTCTTGTTGAAGAGGAGCGCGAGGTAGTTGCTTATCACGAGGCTGGTCATGCGCTTGTGGGGTGGTTGTTAGAACACACAGATGCTCTTCTAAAGGTGAGCTGTTCTTCATGACAAACTATACATCAACTAATCTGGATGCATTGTTATTGTTAGGATTAGGCTGTGGCACTGTACACTCGTTTGACCGCAATCTCCATTTATACAAATGAAGATGTTGACATCATTTTGGCCATTTGAGGGTAACTCCTCAATTTTCGCAAATTTGCAAGATTCAAAAGATTAGTAACCATTATTTGTGCTAGATGATTCGGCTCAGGTAAAAAATGTGTTTTTTCTTTGTGCTGTATGATTTGGTTCAAAAAAGCATGTTTCCTCATCACTTCAGGTGACAATTATTCCTCGCACGTCTGCAGCTCTTGGTTTCGCACAGTACAGCCCTAAGGAAAAGAAACTGTTCACCAAAGAAGAGGTGCCTTGAATTTGTTGAAACTTATTGTAACCTGTATTCCGACAACATGTGTTTCAGCTGTTCGATCGAATGTGTATGATGCTTGGTGGTCGAGCCGCTGAAAACATTAAATTCGGTAGAATAACCACGGGAGCTGAAGATGATCTCAAGAAGGTGGAGGATTGAATAGCAGTGAACAAAGTTTATTAGTGATCAATTTCATAAAGACTTCTTCAGGTGACGAAATCGGCGTATGCACAAGTGAAAGTGTATGGAATGAATAATGTTGTGGGTACGTTGTCGTTCCCAAACGATGACGATTTCCAAATCAAACCATTCAGTAAGAAGTTTGGGCACGTTATGGATCAGGTGAGAATGCTTACATGTGTTTGTGTTCAATATATTTTTTTGTTGAAATTCCCCACATATTTATTGAACCTTCTCGTCGATTCAAGGCTTATGTTGAAGATAACCGTTGAATCAGAAATCAATGCTGGAAAGTCTTGAGAGCAAACCTTAGGTCAAATGCTATCCTAGCTGAAATTTAAAAACAAAAGCTTTTGCCGACCGGGTTGTTGCGAACAAATGGATTCACCGCCATGGCGGTGTGCCAGCATATGGAGTAGAGTTTGTGGAAGTTTAATTTCGAGCCAATTTATGCGACTTGATATTGGGCGAAGAATGGCTATCTTGGATTTGAATCTAGCGGGTCACTATATGTGGTCACTATTGAAGCTCAAAAGCTGCTCGAAACAACAGTTTGAGTGGGTCGCTAAAAGCTGCTCATCGTAAAGCATGGGAAGGAATTCTGAAGGATTGTCATTCGGCTAGGATTTGTTTGTAGAGTTCGCTCGAAGAATGTTATCAAGTTCACAGGGATTCCTATTAAATGGGACCTTAACAATTATTTGCAGAAAGATGATCAAACGTTGCTGTGTCTGATACACTTTATCGGTCTTTCAGGTCGCATTTGGCCTGTCACTGTTCTTGTTGTCATTAAGGGATTCTTCCACGTACCATGGACCAGTGGGCGGGAAAGGAAGGTTTGGTGACGAAA